ACCGAATTTGTTCCCATAAGGAATATTGTGAATTAGATTAGTCCATTTCAGACCCCCAAACATACACGTACAAACGCACTTACATAAATACACTTACATAATTGGTCGCATTGGGAGCTGATCGTAAAGCGGGGGTCCACTGTACTATGTAATGTCTTTCTTTGGGCCCATGGTTGCTTATTTTGCAGTTGTACTCAGTCAATAACCACAAAAAACAATGGATTATAGCAAAATGTTTGGATGAATGAGCAGAAGCTTCCTCACTCGCCCAGAGACAAAGCCAAACTGACTTGCAAGCGGCCCCAGCCGGAGAGTGGATGCCTCCCAAATGGCCGATAACTGAATTAATGGCTGATAACCGGGGGTCCACTGTACCTCCCTTAGTAGCTGCAATCTACCAACCTACTACCACAAGATGGTAATACCTCCCTGGGTGGTTGCTGTCTATGAACCTACTACCACAGGATGGTAGTACCTCCCTGGGTGGTTGCTGTCTACCAACCTACTACCACAGGATGGTAATACCTCCCTGGGTAGTTGCTGTCTATGAACCTACTACCACAGGATGGTAGTACCTCCCTGGGTGGTTGCTGTCTACCAACCTACTACCACAGGATGGTAGTACCTCCCTGGGTGGTTGCTGTCTACCAACCTACTACCACAAGATGGTAATACCTCCCGGGTGGTGCTGTCTATGAACCTACTACCACAGGATGGTAGTACCTCCCTGGGTGGTTGCTGTCTAAACCTATACCACAGGATGGTAATACCTCCCTGGGAGTTGCTGTCTATAAACCTACTACCACAGGATGGTAGTACCTCCCTGGGTGGTTTGCTGTCTACCAACCTACTACCACAGGATGGGTAGTACCTCCCTGGGTGGTTGCTGTTCTACCAACCTACTACCACAAGATGGTAATACCCCCCTGGGGGGTTTTGCTGTCTATGAACCTACTACCACAGGATGGTAGTACCTCCCTGGGTGGTTGCTGTCTACCAACCTACTACCACAGGATGGTAGTACCTCCCGGGGGTGGTTGCTGTCTCCCAAACCTACTACCACAGGATGGTAGTACCTCCCTGGTGGTTGCTGTCTACCAACCTACTACCACAGGATGGTAGAAAACCTCCCTGGGTGGTTGCTGTCTACCAACCTACTACCACAGGATGGTAGTACCTCCCTGGGTGGTTGCTGTCTACCAACCTACTACCACAGGATGGTAGTACCTCCCTGGATGGTTGCTGTCTACCAACCTACTACCAAAGGATGGTAGTACCTCCCTGGGTGGTTGCTGTCTACCAACCTACTACACAGGATGGTTAGTACCTCCCTGGGTGGTTGCTGTCTACCAACCTACTACCACAGGATGGTAGTACCCCCCTGGGTGGTTGTTGTCTACCAACCTCTACACAGGATGGTAGTACCTCCCTGGGTGGTGCGTTACCAACCTCTCCACGGGATGGTAGTACCTCCTGGGTGGTTGTTGTCTCCAACTCTACCCGGAGGTGTACCTCCTGGGTGGTTGTTGTTACCAAACCCTTTCTACCACAGGGTGGTAGTACCTCCTGGGTGGTTGTTGTTACCAACCTATACCCGGGGATGGTAGTACCTCCGGGGGTGGTTGCTGTTCTACCAACCTACTCCCACAGGATGTTAGTACCTCCCTGGGTGGTTGTTATCTACCAACCTACTACCACAGGATGGTAGTACCTCCCTGGGTGGTTGTTGTCTACCAACCTACTACCAGGATGGTAGTACCTCCCTGGGTGGTTGCTGTCTACCAACCTACTACCCAGGAGGGTTTAGTACCTCCTGGGTGGTTGCTGTCTACCAACCTACTACCACAGGAGGGTTTAGTACCTCCCTGGGGGGTTTTGCTGTCTACCAACCCTACTACCACAGGATGGTATTTACCCCCCTGGGTGGTTGCTGTCTACCAACCTACTACCACAGGATGGTAGTACCTCCCTGGGTGGTTGTTGTCTACCACCTACTACCACAGGATGGTAGTACCTCCTGGGTGGTTGCTGTCTCCCAACCTACTACCACAGGATGGTAGTACCTCCCTGGGGGTTGCTTGTCTACCAACCTACTACCCAGGATGGAGTACCTCCCTGGGTGGTTGTTGTTACCAACCTACTACCACAGGATGGTAGTACTCCCTGGGGGTTGTTGTCTACCAACCTACACCACAGGACGGTATACCTCCCCGGGTGGTTGCTGTCTACCAACCTACTACCACAGGATTTTAGTACCCCCTGGGTGGTTGCTGTCTACCAACCTACTACCACAGGATGGTAGTACCTCCCTGGGTGGTTGTTGTTACCAACCTACTACCACAGGATGGTAATACCTACCTGGGTGGTTGTTGTCTACCAACCTACTACCACAGGACGGTAGTACCTCCCTGGGGGGTTTGCTGTCTACCAACCTACTACCACAGGACGGTAGTTCCCTGGATGGTTGCTGTCTACAACCTATACCAAAGGACGGTAGTACCTCCCTGGTGGTTGTTGTCTACCAACCTACTACCACAGGACGGTAGTACCTCCCTGGGTGGTTACTGTCTACCAACCTACTACCACAGGAGGGTTTTATACCCCCCTGGGTGGTTGCTGTCTCCCAAAACCTACTACCACGGGATGGTAGTACCTCCCTGGGTGGTTGTGTCTACCAACCTACTACCACAGGATGGTAGTACCTCCTGGGTGGTTGTTGTCTACCAACCTACTACCACAGGTGGTAGTACCTCCCTGGGTGGTTGTTGTCTACCAACCTACTACCACAGGATGGTAGTACCTCCGGGGAGGTTGCTGTCTACCAACCTACTACCACAGGAGGGTAGTACCTCCCTGGGTGGTTGTTGTCTACCAACCTACTACCACAGGATGGTAGTACCCCCCTGGGTGGTTGCTGTCTACCAACCTACTCCCACGGGGATGGTAGTACCCCCCGGGGGTGGTTGCTGTCTACCAACCTACTACCACAGGATGGTAGTGCCCCCCTGGGTGGTTGCTGTCTCCAACCTACTCCACAGGATGGTAGTACCTCCCTGGGTGGTTGTTGTCTACCAACCTACTCCACAGGATGGTAGTACCTCCCTGGGTGGTTGTGTCTACCAACCTCTACCACAGGATGGTAGTACCTCCCTGGGTGGTTGTTGTCTACCAACCTATTTACACAGGATGGTAGAAACCTCCCTGGGTGGTTGCTGTTTACCAACCTACTACCACAGGATGGTAGTACCTCCCTGGGTGGTTGTTGTCTCCAACCTACTACCACAGGATGATAGTCCCTCCCTGGGTGGTTGCTGTCTACCAACCTACTACCACAGGACGGTAGTACCTCCCTGGGTGGTTGTTGTCTACCAACCTACTACCACAGGATGGTAGTACCTCCCTGGGTGGTTGTTGTCTTCCAACCTACTACCACAGGACGGTAGTACCTCCCTGGGTGGTTGCTGTCTACCAACCTACTACCACAGGATGGTAGTACCCCCCTGGGTGGTTGCTGTTACCAACCTATACCACAGGATGGTAGTACCTCCTGGGTGGGTTGTTGTCTACCAACCTACTACCACAGGATGGTAGTCCCCCCTGGGTGGTTGCTGTCTACCAACCTACACCACGGATGGTAGTACCCCTGGGTGGTTGTTGTCTACCAACCTACTACCACAGGATGGTAGTACCTCCCTGGGTGGTTGCGGGTCTACCAACCTACTACCACAGGATGGTAGTACCTCCCTGGGTGGTTTTGTTCCCAAACCTACTACCACAGGATGATAGTACCCCCCTGGGTGGTTGGTCTAAAAAACCTACTACCACAGGGACGGTAGTACCTCCCTGGGTGGTTGCTGTCTCCCCAACCTACTACCACAGGATGGTAGTACCTCCCTGGGTGGTTGTTGTCTACCAACCTACTACCACAGGACGGTAGTACCTCCCTGGGTGGTTGCTGTCTACCAACCTACTACCACAGGATGGTAGTACCTCCCTGGGTGGTTGTTGTCTACCAACCTATACCACAGGACGGTTAGTACCTCCCTGGGTGGTTGCTGTCTCCCAACCTTTCCACAGGAGGTAGCACCTCCCTGGGTGGTTGTTGTCTACCAACCTACTACCACAGGATGGTAGTACCCCCCTGGGTGGTTGTTGTCTACCAACCTACTACCACAGGATGGTAGTACCCCCCTGGGTGGTTGTTGTCTACCAACCTACTACCACAGGATGGTAGTACCTCCCTGGGTGGTTGCTGTCTACCAGCCTACTACCTAGAAGTCGAATATACAATAAATAAATAACTACTCTCACTGATTAAGTAAATAAACAATTACTGTAACTAAATAACATTATTGAAAAGTAAGATACAAATTTATGCTGTCAATAAATGTACAGTACTGAACATGCTTTGCTATTGCACCATCATTGTCAAAATATTGTAAGCCGAACCAGTGTATAGCAAGGAGCACCTGTACTGGGAAATTGTGATATCACACGACTAACCGGTAAATTACTTTCAATTTTCCTTTATTTTCCTTACCAGGCATACGTCGGGAAGTGTGGTGTTCTTCCTGGCGCCACCAATGGTGCCCTCACTACTGCATCTGTCCCGTATGTCAGTGCGGCGATCACTGGGAGATGTTACGGCCAGGGATGATCTCTTGTTACCTCAAACACTCAAGCCTTACCTTCAGTACAAGCAATGGTGATGCTGTAGTTGCTGTTGCACTCTCTGCCAGCTGTGTGTTGAACACCACTAGGAATTCCTAATTTATTGAAATTTAACCAGGGTCCATTGTTCTTAATTCAAGGGTTTAAAATTAAATTACTTAGATTTTCTTTTGTTCTGCTTTGTTGAAGATTCAGTAAGATAAGTTTTTTGTTTTTTTTCATAAATCAATTTTGTTGAAGTTTGTATTTTGTAATCTTAATATTTTGTAAAGCAGGTTTATTACGCAGAATCTGCACTCTTATGATTGCTGTATTTCTTTATATATGAGGTCCTTGTCTTTATACACAAGGTCCTTGTCCTTATACACAAGGTCCTTGTCTTTATACACAAGGCCCTTGTCCTTATACAAAAGGTCCTTGTCCTTATACACAAGGTCCTTGTCCTTATACACAAGGTCCTTGTCCTTATACACAAGGTCCTTGTCCTTATACACAAGGTCCTTGTCTTTACACACAAGGCCCTTGTCCTTATACAAAAGGTCCTTGTCCTTATACACAAGGTCCTTGTCCTTATACACGAGGTCCTTGTCTTTATACACAAGGTCCTTGTCCTTATACACAAGGTCCTTGTCTTTATACACAAGGTCCTTGTCCTTATACACAAGGTCCTTGTCCTTATACACAAGGTCCTTGTCCTTATACACAAGGTCCTTGTCCTTATACACAAGGTCCTTGTCCTTATACACGAGGTCCTTGTGTCTATACACAGGTCCTCTACTTTATAAAACAAGTTCTCAACTTACAAACACTGGGAAGTAAAAATATCTACACTTACAAACACTGTACTTAGAAACTATTTTTACAATTGCTGTACTGAAGTATAAAACAGAATAATTTTTCTAATACTGTTTCATATATAAATTTTCTTTTTATGCTGAAAAACCGGGAATACAACTTACACGTAACTTGAAATGCCCGGAATGCAACTTGTTTTTGAGATAGAGTAAAAAATCACAATACCGTGACTGGAACAACACACAGATAGCCCTCGCACATGAGTCGGATACTTCTGACGATGTTTTGGTCTGACTTGAACCATTAACTAATCAGTGGCCCAAGTCAGATCGAAACGTCATCATGAGCCTCATTCTCCTATGTCCTGGTTATTTGTGTATCATTTGTGTGATGGAACACCAGGACAGGAAAGGGTTTGTAAGTTGTGAACGTGTACCTGACACGTCTCTCATTCCTTGTATGTTTCACACTGTCATGTATACCTTGTAAAGCAGCCGGGATACACTACAGACATTCTAGTGTTTAATAATTCAGTATGGCAACTGATTCACTCATTAAGTGTCAAGTAAACATGCAGGATTCTTTTGCAAATGTTTAGTGTGTTTCTGTTGGATATTCCAGCAACTGTATAGTTAAATGATAGACGATAACAGAAATGTTTGAGGAAGATTCTGCATGTCTTGAAATGTTTAAGGTACAGGTAAAGATGACTTACATTGTTTAACTCGTAACCTCAGAAGGAGTAAAATGACTCATGATAACACGATTGTAAACAAATCATAGAACGGGTGAGGTTCTGAACCCATGGTGAGTCCTGAAACCCACAGACCAGTGTGTTAACCACTGTACCAGGTGGCTGTAATAAGTATCTTATTAGATTCAGCTGGCCCAGTGATTAACACACTGGCCTGTGTTTCAGGACTCACCATGGGTTCAAAACCCCACCTGTTCCCTGATTTAATAAAATAAAATTTAAAGTTAAATATAGAATAATCTGTAACTGCTCAACTAATACTTTGTATACTCAAGTATAACTCAAAAAATATCTACTTTATGCATCTCTTGTACAATTTTTTTCTAAGTTTTGAAGAGAAAATGAGTAATATTTGATAAGTTAAGTGCTGTTCTGGATGTGTTGTGTGTGTGCGTGTGTTGCTGTGTTTGGAAAACAAAGTGGACGAGAGGAGGCTTCTGATCCAGTGTTTCCAGTTGTAAGTTTAGCCTGACGCATTTGTATGTGCAGAAGAGAGTTAAGCATAATGAAAAGTAATCACTTAATAGTGCTGATGGTGTGTTGGAACAACTGTATCAAGGTCAGGTGTGTTGGAGCAGCTGTATCAAGGTCAGGTGTGTTAGAACAACTGTATCAAGGTCAGGTGTGTTGGAACAACTGTATCAAGGTCAGGTGTGTTGGAGCAGCTGTATCAAGGTCAGGTGTGTTGGAACAACTGTATCAAGGTCAGGTGTGTTGGAACAACTGTATCAAGGTCAGGTATGCCGTGTTACTTGCTCATTACCAAAAACTGTAGTGACTTAGTCTATCAAAAGTATAAGAATAGTCGACCACTGCAGTAGGCCTACCCAGATCCAGTTATTTTACTCATTTGCCTAACCTATTCTCTGTGCTGCCCAAAATGCTTTCATTTCACTACCGGACAGTATGTTCATCTCATTTGCATCTCTGTTGCCACACCAACGTTTTCTCATAGCCTTTAAAAATCTTCTACTGTCCATGTAGATTGTTTGAGTCCATTGGTGGACATGTGTTGTAGGATGATGGTGCTAATGGTGTTTCATCCCCATATTTTCTTTTCCACGACTGAAGTTACATGGTAAGAGGTGTTATCATATCTTAGTTCATGTCAGTACTCAGTTCTGTTTACTGTGTACTCACCCCTTCTTTCCTGGTTTCTGTATTTCAGTTCATATCAGTACTCAGTCCTATCTGATGTCTACTCACCCCATCTTTCCTGGTTTTTATATACCAGTTCATGTCAGTACTCAGTCCTGTCTACTTGCCCCATCTTTCCTGGTAACTGCAGGGATAACGGTTAATAGATTTTAACTTCGAATTTTTCCCTAGTCCATTATGTATTACAGACAGTTAAGACCTAAAACTTTGACCTATACTTGAGTATATATGGTAATAGATGGAAAGGGCATGTACAATCTGTAATAGATGGTAAGCATGTACAGTCTGTAATAGATGGTAAGCATGTACAGTCTGTAATAGATGGTAAGCATGTAAATCTAAAATAGAGGGGTAAGCATGTACAATCTGTATAGATGGTAAGCATGTACAGTCTGAAATATATACATTTCATCATTTTTTTTTTTAAGAGGTCCTATTGAACTTTGACCTTTGTCATGCACGACTTGTTCATCTCATGATAAAGTTTTGGTACTTGCTCACATTCCTTATAAGAGGAATTATTCTTAATTGATAATTTCTTAATGGTTAATTCTTGGAAGTCTTGTTGCCGGTACATTGGGTGAAGGCTGCCACTATGCCGTTTACCGCTCTCCAGGGTAAACAAAATAACTTGGAGCTAAATTTATGAAGAATTTATTCCCATTGGTAATTTAGTCACATTTTATAGGTAACAAGACTCGTTAGTGTTTACTTTCTGTGGTGTGAGGACGAGAGTCGGCCCGAGACATTGATCCTTCAAGCAGTGAATCTTTAAGGTCATGAACATTGTAAATTTCAATGATGAACATTTTCTTAAGCTATATTATTTTTGCATTATATGTTATTCAATTCAGTTTATGACGCTGTCATTTTAAATCTGGGATACACAGGTTATAATGCGCACACAGAATATAAAACTGCAGTAACATATTTATAGGAAAAATACAGTTATGTGGTGGCACTGCTGCCACGTACATGCCAGGGCACACAGACAGGCTCTTTCACTGTTTAGACATTCATAGTGAGAATTTGATTTTGCCAGCGACTTCATTTTTGTTATTAAACACATGGGCAGGTTCTTGTGTGTACACTATGTAGCGGAAGTAATACATCTTGCCTACTGGAAGTGTGAACTGCTTAATCTTGCTAATGCTTCAAATCACTTGTATCAGTTTGCAGCAGCCACTCATTCAAATGGGATAATACTGTAATTGTAAAACGTTCCTACTACATAAACGACCCAAATTAAAACTAAGTCTGATATGATAAGTTTAAGTTACACTTTTAAGAAATATTTCTCTTGGTATTTAATATTAGCGTCTATTGGAGAATGACGGCATTTATGGGAATTTGCCTAATGACAAGAATTATTTGCCATATGTTGTACGATAAGAATTAAAATAAACTTTGTAGAGCAAAACATTTTTGGTAATAAATTTTATCTTTATATATATATATTATATTTTGTTTAATTATCCAAATGGTGATTTTTGTTGCAAATGAAAACCGAAAAAAATATACCACACCATCTCACTGACGACCGAGCTTCGTTCCGACCAACTGGTTGTAAGTCAAATGGACGTAAGTCGAACCTTACTACTGAATATGAACATCACATTTTTGTAATGATTTTATTTTATCGACTCACAAAATCATAATGACACGATTGCAAATAAACTATACCATGGGCGGGCTTCTATCCCCGCTGTGGTATGGTTTATTTTATTTTATTGTTTTATTTTGATAATTAATTTTTTACTTTGCTTTTTATGCTGTTAGTTTTGTATTTTATATGTAAGGTTTAGGATAAACACTGGGAATAAACAGTTGTTTATTTCCCAGAAATTTGGCATACAAAATATGGTCGTAAGTTGGATGGTAGGTGTTTTAATACAGTCAATTACCCATTAACCAGGTGTGATGAGTGGGCAATTTCATTAATTTTCTGAAAGGTGCACAACGAAAAATAATGTTTCATGCCACTATTATTCTACAGAACTTTCAGTAATGTCTTCTCAAGAAAGGTTCCATGGTGCTGGTGAGGGGCTCTTGATCAAAAGGTTTAGACTTGTCTTCCCTTACTTATCGTACCCTGATTGTCTTTCACTACCTAGGCATTGCATGATCCTTAAATTATCATTTCTGCATAATATAATAATTTTAAGTAATAATTGTGACTGTATCTCTTCCATGAACGCTCTTGATGCCATCAGTTTCACTTGTGTCCAAAGACCAGTGCAGCAGACCTTGTTAACCCTTTGACTGTTTTGGCCATATATATACGTCTTACGAGCCAATGTTTTCGATATATTAATACTAAAAAATTACAATAGCTTAAAATTAAGCGGGAGAAAGCGTTAGACCCACATGTGAGAGAATGGGTCTGCATGGTCAGTGTGCATGGTACAAAAAAAATCGGGGAGCCAGTGATGCATTGTGGGAATGCCATTTCAGTAGTTTGTGTTCAGCATGCCTAGCGGTAAGAAATATCTGACTCCCGGCGAATCTGGGGACTCTTCTCATCCCAACCCCTCAAGAAAGGTTCCTTGATGTTGGTGAGGAGCTCTTGATTTAGGGCCCCTCAGGGTAAGGTTCCTTGATGTTGGTGAGGGGGCTCTTGATTCAGGGCCCCTCAGGGAAGTTCATGATGTTGGTGAGGGGGCTCTTGTATTAAGGGCCCCTCAGGAAGGTTCCTTGATGTTGGTGAGGGGCTCTTGATTTAGGGAATTGGATTCTGTGCTACCAGTTCCCCGAATTAAGCCTGAATGCCTTCCACATCCCCCCAAGGCGCTGTATAATCCTCGGGTTAGCGCTTCCCCCTTGATTATAATAATAATAATTCTCATCCCAAGTGATAGTTCTAACACAGATGGAAGTGTCAGTGAAGATAATTTCATGGTTTGAGTGTTTTGTGACCGAAAGCAATGCCCAGGATACAGAAGAAGAAAGGAAGTAAGGAAGGAAGGAAAGAACAACTAGGAGGAAGTAGGAAGGAATGATGACACACGACCATTTACCTAAGATAACTACTAACACAACTGCCTGCTAATACCTTGAAGAAAACTGCTCAGATGAGGTGTTTTGTCCGTGCAAATACAAAAAAAATGCCCACAAAAATGCACACACACTTGTTTTATGTGTGAGAAGTGAAAAACACCGTTGTGTATCAACACATGTTTCAAATTGTTCCACAAGCTGCAGAACTTCTAGGAACATGTCCAGTGACTGTACATTTGTATATATATTATAGAACAGTAGTAATAAAAATTTTTTGCATTGTTGGTTTGTGTAAACAAGTTTTGTAAACAATATAATGATATGTAAAGTAAAAGGACACAAGTGCAACTAATGTGACATTTATTGTGGCAACGTTTCGCTCTCCAGGAGCTTTATCAAGCCATCGTAATACACAATAAATGTCACATTAGTTGCACTTGTGTTCTTTTACTTTACATATTGTCGGTAATTCTACCAACTTTATTACAATATAATGATACAATGTTGTGTGATTATTGTGTTACTTACGAGTGTATATGTGTACATTGCACCTTACTTGGTCTCACAGGCCACATAAGTTATGTGAAAAAATAAAATGGTGAATAAACAAGAAACCTTTGAATGGAAGTAAACCAAAGTTTACTGGGAAGTGACATTCACTGCGTTGCCATATGTGGCTCATTTTCTGCCAACTTTATTCCTCTATATCTTGGTAAGTACTCATCACAAAATTTTTTTGGGGGCTTAAAACAATCAGAAAATTAATCTTAACATTTTGATAAGAACTTTTTTTCGAATATTTTTCAACACCAGGAGACACTTCAGGATTTGGGGTTGCGACAGTCAAAGGGTTAAAATGCTTTGCAATGGTTAGTGACAATACAATGCCTTCTTATATATGAATTTTGACAAACCCCATTGATTGTTTGCTGTATTTTTTATTGCTTTTGTTCTGGAATCTACTTTTGACATAGTGATTAATTGATTCATTGATAATTAAGAGGGATTAGCATGTAACCAGTCATTAAATTCTTGCTTTATGCCATAAAAAATTGACCCATCCTCGAAGGATGCTGCCTTAATACAAGTGATGGGTTCTTGAACCAAAGATTTGGAGGTACCCCTCTCACTCAGTGGATTGAATCTCATTGTTTCCTATTTCACAAGGCACTATTTAACCCTTTCAGGGTCGAGAGGCCCTCTCCGAAACTTGTTCTAAGGGTCAAAAATTTTTCGGAAAAAACAAAAAAATTTTCTTATGAAATGATAGAGAATCTTTTCCCGATCATAATGACACCAAAAGTATGAAATTTGATGGAAAACATACAGAATTATGCTCTCGCGGAGTTAGCAGTCTAGCCGATGTTTACGCATCAGCGATTTCGCCCACTTTGGCCCCTATTTTTGGCCAATTCCTGTGTACCATTTGACAATCATATTTATTTCGCTAGAACTCCATTTTTTCTATCAAATGAGTACAAGAAACCACTCTTTTACCAATTTCAACTATCCAAGAAAATAGTTATAAATTGGCAATTTTGCCAATTTCACACAAATTTCAAAAGATGCCAATTTCCAAATTGGGTCTAGAATAAACAAGA